TGTCCCCATCTTTCAGATGGTGCTCTCGATCACTCTTAATGAAAGGCCAGGTTCGGCGATGCTGAATATAACCTGACTCTGCCCAGGGCCCCTCTGATTGTAATAGGAGTCACTGTGGACTAACTACACAGTATGAGTAAGGATGGCAGAGCCTAGTCTGAAATATATCCGATATATGGCTGGATAGAGCATATAGGCCTGGATTACAGCTTTACAATCTGCCCTGAGTGAGGGCTACCAGGCAGCTGCATGGCTCAGGAGCTAAGTAGGGAACAAACCTGTGTAGGGCACATCTACACTGCATGCAGTCCACACTCAACCTGTGGAACTCCTTGCCAGAGGATGTTGTGAAGACCAGGACTTTAACAGGGTTCAAAAAAGAGCTAGATAAATTCATGGAGGATAGATCTATTAATAGATATTAGCCAGGATGGGAAGAAATGGTGTCCCTAGCCTCTGTTTTTCAGAGGCTGGACATGGGTGACAGGAGAGGGATCACTTGTTGGTTACCTGTTCTGATCACTCCTTCTGGGGTATCTGGCATTGGCCACTTTTGGAAGACGGGATAATGGGCTAGACAGGCCTTTGGTCTGACCCCAGTATGGCCATTCTTATGTTCTTAAGCAGACCCACTCAAGCAGTAATTGAGCCGGTGCAGGTAACAGTGGTGGGCTAGCCACCCAAGTACAAGTCCACCACGGATTCTGGTTGCTAACCACCCCCAGATCCATGTCATCAGATTATGCAGGTTGCCAGCCACCCCCAGGGTCCACGCCACCTCGCCTTCTCTGCTAATGTCACCTGCCTCAGCTAGACGGGAGCAAGCACAATTATGCCAACCCACGAAGCAATCATAGCGGCATCTGAGGAGTAGACAGACCCACAATTTACATCTACATTTGTAATTGGGGATGTGATGCCAGGCTTGTGTAGACGTGCCCACGGTAGCACTCCTTGAGCAAGTCTCAAAACAGTAGCGGAGCCGGGGCCATATGGGTGTACCCAGGTGGCTACCCCAGCTGTATTGCTGTCCGTAGAGTGTCCGCATGAGCACCTCTACATGGGTTGGGAGTCCCACCCACAGACCCTTTCCCTAAGTGGGGAAAATGAAAGGTGACAGAGAAAGCTATGTCCCCTTGCCAGACGCTGCCTAGCCGCCCCTCCCTTTCACTGCCTTCCTTCTCCCGCCTGCTCTCAGGGAGTTCGGGTGAGTCACCCAAGCTCTCCTCGTGGCCCCTAATCAGAGTCACTAACCGAGCAAGACCAACCAGGGGGCTACAAGGAACCTCATCTCCCCGGTGCTGCCGCAGAAGAGCTGGGAGCATTGCACCTGTGGTGATTTCTGTGCAGGTCGCTTAAGGAAGGAAAAAGGGGGGAACCAGGCCCCATTGTAGAGGCACTGCTGGTAGGGCAGAAGGACCTCCAGTGGATTCACCACACGCAGAGGCCCAGGAGCAGCAGCATTCATGACAGTGGTTCCTCTGTAACTCTGCGTAGGGGCATGGCTGGATACGCTGATCCGTGCATTCATGGCTCCGAGTGTTCCCCCCAGGGTCAGGAACCAGGAGCAACTGGGTGAAATTTTTCCAGCCTGTGCAGCGTGTGGAACCAGCTGATCCAACGACCCCGGAAGGCTCGGACTCCAAACCCCAGCCACTTGGCCTATCGTTACTAACACGTAACAGGAGTCGCAGTCAGCGGCCGACATAGCTCTGCAGGGCAGAGGAGGGTTCTCACCTTGCCCACGTTTACGACTTGGGGCTCTGGATGCACCTGGAGAGGCCTGTGGCTAACCTGGAAGGCCTGGCCCGTGCACTCTCCCGGGTTCCAGCAAACCGTTTGATTTGTTTGTGGCACCAGGGTCCGGCTGCTGCTGCAAACATCTCGTGTGGACACTTTGCATTGTGCCCCTGCCGATCTCTGCCCACAAAGCCATCTGGACAGAGGAGCACCCCACATCCGGGCATGCTCTGGTAGAGCAGAGTTTGCTTAGAGGTTCCTGAATGTTCCCCCGCTGCATCCAAGGTAGGAAACATGACCAGGAAAAGGGAACATAGTCAGGATGTCCCCATGTCGGCCACTTCTGGGCCCCCTTTGCACCCCTTCACCGCAAACTGCACCATGGAAAGTTTGGCTGGAGCCCTAGAATTGCCACCGGGCTTCAAGGAACTGGCTTTGCCAGTGACTTGCTCTGCAGCTTCAGAGGAGTCATTTGGGGCCTGACTCTGAAGGGTGCTGAGCATCCACAGTTCCCAATGAAGTCAATGAGAGGGAGATGGAGCCTCTGCATAGCAGGGTCTGCATCTCTTGCCTCAGTTTTCCTGTCTGTGGCTCTGAAGTAGTGGGTGGAATCTAGCAATCTGGCACTCATCACAGGGCACCACGATAGTGACTCCAGACCAACTACAAGAGTAGCATTGGCTGTGTCTACACTGGCAAGTTATTCCGTAAAATCAGCCGCTTTTCTGGAAAAACTTGCCAGCTGTCTACACTGGCCGCTTGAATTTCTGGAAAGCACTGACGATCTCATGTAAAATCATCAGTGCTTTTCCAGAAATACTACGCTCCTCCCATTCGGGCAAAAGTCTTTTTCTGGAAAACTGTTCCGGAAAAGGGCCAGTGTAGACAGCACAATAATGTTTTCCGCAAAAAAGTCCCGATCGCGAAAATGACGATCGGGGCTTTTTTGCGGAAAAGCGCGTCTACATTGGCCACGGACACTTTTCCGCAAAAAGTGCTTTTTCGGAAAAGCATCCTGCCAATCTAGACGTGCTTTTCTGAAAATTCTTTTAACAGAAAACTTTTCCGTTAAAAGCATTTCCAGAAAATCATGCCAGTGTAGATGTAGCCAATTGTGTCATATTGTTCTATGGAAGGAAATATATTCCTGACCTCGGCTGATCATCAGCATTTGCCCTGAAGCATGACAATTAATTGCTCTTATACCGTTTATCTTTGCTAGTTTACCCAAGGATAATTAATTACTGAATTGTATTCTAGTAAGCCATTGGCGTCAATATCCTGTGTGTCACATACGTAAATGAGAGGAAAACTCTGAAAGTGAGAGTTCACCGTATGTCTCCATCTTGGAACTCACCTGGGGAGGACTCATTCAGCGGGCTGAGGGCATTTGCTCTCCTGATTTTCTCCAGACAGGCTTCCTGCTCCTTTCGGATGATGCAGTCTGAGTGCGTTGCTACAACCTGAAAGGCAGAAGCAGAACAATTACAAAGACACTAAGCTATTCCGAGCTCATGAGGAAACCAATACATCTCGTGAGCCTCTTCTGGAGGAAAAAATAACTCTGGAAGGTGAAATAAAGACACTTAACTCACTGCCCAGGCCAACTGACTTAAAGCTAAACGAAGCTTTACAATGGATTACAATGGAGATTATTGACAGAAATGTCTTCTATTTTATTTTTCCTTATACCCACTTCGAATACGTTGCTTTTATGGAGTCTGAAGCCATAGGGGAAGGATCCTCTAGTGGTTTAAATCACTGAATGGGGACTGAGAAGCCCTGGGACATTCTAGCCCTGACATTTACTCTTGTTTAGCCTTGGGCATGTCACTGAATCTGTCTGGTGTCTCAATACTAAATTGAAAACTCTTTCGTTGAGTCTTCGGCCAGGCAAATACATCTGTGGCTGTGCAGCCCGATTTCCTCCTTTCCTCTCATCTCCCCTGACTATGAGATGGTTTTACGGACAAAATGAAACACAGTCCTTGAGCTGGGTGGATCAAAGTGTCTCCTGGCACTAGTCTGTATATCTCTATGGAAGTCCAGGGTAGGAGACACTGCAAAGGAGGCGAGAAAAGGGACTCACCAGGGGCTTGTATATGCATGGCAGTGTGCAGCCCACAAGGGAGTGATTTCTAATGCACATTCATGTGTAGAGTATTCATTGGTCCATGTAGACCCCACTGGTGTCAAGTAAAAGTCTCCTACTGGATTTTCACATTTTCAAAAAATGAGGGTTACAGGATCTTTTGAAACGGGGCATTTCTGTCGAAAGATCCCCGTCTTGACCACAGTTATTTTTTTCAAAAAGCATCTTTTCGAAAAAAAGCCACAGCTGCTATTATGCAAATGAAGTGCGGGAAATTCAAATCCCGGCTTCATTTACAATTTCGACATGTCTAATTTACATCCCTTTATCAAACAAGGGATGTAGTTTAGATGTACCCATAGTGTTACGTTACCAAGAGGTGACTAGCCAAAGTCACACGGTGTGCCCAGGACTGAGCTGAGTAGAGAACCCAGGCCTGTTGAGTCTGCGTGCAGTGCAGTAGCCACTAGGACACATAACCTTTCTAAGGAGCACTGCCTTCCCCTTAAGAAAATAAAACATTTCGGTGCACTGCAAAAGAGGTTTCCATGTTTAAATGAGAATTACACTGAGGTGAGCTGTCTCCTCTAGCTCTTTCCAGGCTCAGAATTTCCCAGAAGGACTCTGGAAATCACAGATGAAGCCCACTTCTCAGTTCACTGCCTCCCACTCGTGCCTAGTAATGCTGCATCCCTCGCCTCCCTTCTATGACCAAACTGCAGCAGAAAATGCAAGTGATCAGCTCAGCATGAATTCCCCAGGTGTGACTTTTGTCTCTATAAAGCTGCAACAAACCGATTTAATTTTCTGAGCATTCTAGGAGAGGGCTGGGCATGTCAGAGCAGATCGCTTGGGAAAAACTCAGGGTGGAGAGTGTATCAGGGTAGTAACCGAGGTTGGTGGAGACCAGGGTGAGGTTCTGTGTTGTCGGCAGGCTGCGGGGGTCAGAGTTCTGAACAAGGCCCGCAGAGAGCTGAGCCCAAGCCAGGACATAAAGGTTACAGCATTCCAATCTTGTTTCTTTTGCCTTGAGGATATTTGCTGCTCCTAGACAGACTGGTTGCATTTCCCTCCAAAACACTAGTGATACCTACAGTTTCAGCACCTGCTGACAGATATCACAAAACAAAGAAGTCAGGTGAGGAGCATGAGAAAAACAAATGCATTTTGTAGAGCCAAAACTCAAAAATCTCAGGGAACCAAAGTACAGGACTCCTAGAACTTCTCAGAAGGCAGGCATCTTTCTATTTAATAGGCAATGAACTAAAAATCAAGCAAGCAAAAAGAGGCTGAGACCTGAACTTAAGATGCTGAAGAAAAAACAAATTTAAACAGATGGCTTTAAAAACAAATGCTGAAGGAATAATATAATAAAATAATAATAAATCATCTACTCTATATTTTGGAGAGTTTGTTCATCTGTCCGTGTGTCTGTTCATCTGTCTGTGAGTCTTTGTCCAAGAACTCCTCTTAAACGGTAAGAGTTGGGACCAGTAAATTTGATATGCAGCTTCCTCTTATCATAATTTAAAGCAAGATGCCTGGAATTTGATTGTTTCTCCTAAAATGGAAATGTGTGAAAGGTCTGGTAGGAGGGAAGTTATACCATAGAATGACCAGAGAGGGCAGCAAAGGGCCAGAGATGGGGACCGGGACAGGTATAATCTCATTGGGCCTACAGAGGGCAGAGGTAGAGAAAGGAACAGGGGTGAAGAAAGAGACTACATATTTCAGAGAGTTTGTCTGCTTGTGTGTCTGTTTGTCGATCTGTCCCCCAGCCAGGGGACATGGAGCCCTGGCTCCAAGCTGCTGCAGTAAGAGAGGGCTGTCCTCTCTTACCTGAGCAGCCTGTATACTGATCCCCTCATCCTAGCCCCACCCAAGAGTAATGATTTAAATGAAGAAAATAAAAACTTACTTGAGTTAAGGAGCTGAGCAACACCAGGTACATCTTCTAGCAATTAATAAAAGACAAATGCTGCTACAGTGACCTAGTGGGTAGCTGATTAAAGGGTGATTCTAGTGACCTGGGTTCTAGTCCCAGCTCTTCTGGTAGCATACTGGGTAACCTATCATAAGCCACTTTGTATCTCTGCCTCAGTTTCCACACCTGAAAGATGGCCAAATTACCTTCCCTTCTTAAAGAACAGTGAGGTACAGGAATTATCAATAAAGCACCTTCGAGACAAGGAACAAATTCGTGTTACTTTCGAGCCTGCAACTGTAACGATAATTTATATACCGTATTTTCCGGCGTATAAGATGACTGGGCGTATAAGACGACCCCCTAATTTTCTAGTTAAAACATAGGTTTTCGCCTATACTCGCCGTATAAGACTTCCCCCCCTTAAGAGGCCAACCAGCAGCACCTCAACTGCTCTGCCCCAGGGTCCACAACAAAAGCCTGGTCTGCTGGGGGGGAGGGGGGGGTGGGGACGCCCAAGTCCTCCACGGCTTTGCTCCGTCTCCCTGGTCTGCTGACCTGGGAGACAAGGAGCAAAGCCGCAGAGCACGCGGGCAGTGGGACAGTCCAGGCGCGCCGCGCTGTCCCACTGCTGGCGTGCTCCGAGGCTTTGCTCCCCATCTCCCTGGTCTGCTGGACAGACCAGGGAGACGGGGAGCAAAGCCTTGGAGCACGCCCGCAGCGGGACAGCCCGGGCACGCTTGAGCTGTCCCCCTGCGGGCGTGCTCCGCGGCATTGCTCCCCGTCTCCCTGATCTGCAAAGCCGCGGGGGAAGCCGGGCTGCCCAGCTGCCCGAGCTCCTCTGCGGCTTTGCTCCGCGGCTTCCTGGTCTGCAGACCAGGGAGACGCGGAGCAGCTTTTCTCGCCCCAGAGTACACGGGCGGCGGGACTGCGAGATCCTGCAGTCCGTGTCCTCCGGAGCGAGAAAAGCCCCATTCGTACCTGCAAGTCGGGGACTGCCTGTATGTTTATACCCTGCGTATAAGACGACCCCTGATTTTTGGGGGATGTTTTTTAGTATAAAAAGTAGTCTTATACACCAGAAAATACGGTATTCTGCCTACTCCTCTACATTTGTATAATGCGTCACACAATGAGGCCCTCTGCCTCATAGAGCTCTTGCCATTACGAATTCCATCATCAACTGCATTAATAGGAGTGTTGTGAGCAAGACACGAGAAGTCATTCTTCTGCTCTACTCTGCGCTGATTCAGCCTCACCTGGAGTATTGTCTCCAGTTCAGGGCACCAAATTTCAAGAAAGATGTGGAGAAATTGGAGAAGGTCCAGAGAAAAGCAACAAAAATTATGAAAGGTCTAGAAAACATGAGCTATGAGGCAAGACTGAAAGAACTGAGCTTGTTTAGTTTAGAAAAGAGAAGATTGAGAGGGGACATAATAGCGGTGTTCAAGTATCTAAAAGGGTGTCACAAGGAGAAGGGAGAAAAATTGTTCTCCTTAGCCTCTGAGGATAGAACAAGAAGCAATGGGCTTAAACTGCAGCAAGGGAGGTTTAGGTTGGGCATCAGGAAAAACTTCCTAACTGTGAGGGTGGTTAAACACTGGAATAAATTGCCTAGCGTGGTTGTGGAATCTCCATCACTGGAGACTTTTAAGAGCAGGTTAGACAGACTCCTGTCAGGGATGATCTAGACGGAGCTTGGTCCTGCCGTGAGGGCAGGGGACTGGACTTGACCTCTTGAGGTCCCTTCCAGTTCTAGTATTCTATGATTCTATGATAAGTGCTGCTTAATTGCATCAAATAAGCAAAGGTAGAGCAAGGTTGTGCCACAAACACACAGCCAATAGTCTGGGCAGTACAAAATACCCAAAAGCATTCTGCTGAAGGAAGTGTGCCTCAGGGAATCACAATCCCCTCACCAAACCCCTTTCTCAAGGTAGTTGATGGTTTGTTGATGGTTTGTAGCTGGCTCATTCCACCAGCAAATTATGACACCCCTTCCCTTCCTGCTTGGTATGGCTGCACCGGCCAATGGGAGTGACGGAGAATCCTGTCATGGCTTCTGCATATCACCTACTAGGTGGAAATGGAGTAGCAGACACTCCTCATTGTTTACTTCTGCACTGGTCAGGATGATGCACAGAAGAGCTCAAGGCATGAAAATGACCACTGCCATATTGGTCGCCATGGATCAAGACTTATCTTAGAAAAAGATGAATTGAAAGCAATAATACTAACAATTTTGCAGATCATCAGAGGAAATCAGAAAAGCTCTTCGCAGTGAATGAATGGATTTCAGAAGTCTTAGAGTATCACCACTGAAGAACTGGTTTAGAGACAAAAACAATGAGGATTTTCTCTCAGAATTTAGAATTTTTGGTTAAAATGCTGGCATGAAAGCACTGGTAAACTGTTCCTTTCAATGGCCTATCTATGGGTCAATCCTG